AAAGTTTATTTGTGACCGACTGACACACTTTCTATAGCATGTAAAGAAAGATGTTGTATTTGTTTTAAATTAAAAATTAAAATTAAAAATTTTTTTAATAAAAAGAAATAATGTTTTTATATAAAAGAAGGAAACATATCTCTAATACAGGTAGTCTTCAACTTACAACAGTTCATTTAGGGGACCATTCAAAGTTACAACAGCACTGAAAAAAAGTGACTTATGACCCCTTTTCACACTTATGACCATTGCAGCAATCCCGTGGTCGCATGATCCAAATTCAGATGCTTGGCAAGTGGTTCATATTGATGATGGTCACAGTGTCCCAGAGTCATCTGATCCACTTTTGCGACTGTCTGACAATGGGGAACTTAACAAATGTGTTGCTAACTTAACAACTATAATGATTCACCTAACAACTGTGGCAAGAAAGATCGTAAAATGAAGCAAGGCTGACCTAACAAATGTTTCACTTAACAACATAAATGTTGGGCTCAGTTGTCATAAGTCGAGGACTACCTGTAATAAGGTGGGGATTTTTCAGTGACAGTTTTGACAAATGATTAATCTGAGTATGTCTTAGAACCTAGAGCACAAATATAGGTGCTCTGAGCGAGGAAATTATTGGGAAGAAAACCTGTTCTAGTATTGTTGCTGGATTTAACTTTTTGCTTTTCATCCCAGTTGATCTCTTTGACTGATTTTTGTTTGTTCTTTGGGTCATTAGGTGAGTTTATAAAATACTGCATTCCTAGATGTGGGGGGGAAATCTGCACGAAATATACGGTAATATTTAATTTCTGAGAAGCCACTGGATTGTACTAATTACATTTTTCCTGGGTTTTTTTTGTCGGTTTCTTCAGGCCCAACCGATTATTGCTACTGCATGGATTCCTGGATGAAAATGTTCATTTTGCACACACTAGTATTTTGCTGAGCTTCCTGGTCAGGGCTGGGAAACCCTACGACCTCCAGGTAGGTAGCCAAGAAATTTGTGCAGCTCTAAGATGCAAGGGTTAAAATGCAGTTGGGGCTGGATTGGGCTGGATGGCTTGGAGGGGGCAAGGCTGAGGCAGGATCAGGACTATGGAGAGCTCCTGGCTGACTCTCAAGGGAGATGTTATTCTTCCACCTCTGATAAAAGGAATCAGCCAGGTCAACCCCCTTCCTCCTGGCTTCAACAGCCTGCAGCTCTTTCAGACCCCCAGAATCTTGTAGAACTGGGAAATTAGAAAAGGAACTGTGGTTGAATGAAGGTGTTGATTTACCACTGTTTCTCAGCATCTGTTTGAAGTTGCGACCTACCGTATTTTTTGGAGTATGACGCACATTTTTTCCTCAAAAAGAGGGTGAAAATCTGGGTGCGACTTATACATCGAATACAGCATTTTTTTGCCTCCTGAAACNATCTATCTATCTATCTATCTATCTATCTATCTATCTATCTATCTTAAAAAAACATAGTTTCTTTCCCCCCAACGCACTCTGGCTTGTAAAGCCTGGCATATCCTAGTTTATGGTTGAGCACAATCTGTCAAGGAAGCCTGAGCCAAACCATTATCAGGTTTGTGTAAAGTATCAAGTAATAGTTTATCAAGTAAAAGGCAGAGCTGAACTTTGCTACCAACCAGGAAAAGGGAAGGAGAGGCAGGATTAAATTCCAGTTTTCTGAAATGTTTCCAGCTCAGCAGGACTTAAAATTCTATTTGCTGGCTGGGGAATTCTGGGAGTTGAAGTCCGGACATCTTCAAGTTGCCAAGGTTGAGAAACACTGGTTTAGTGCAACGTGTGAACCCAGCCAAATGGTGTCACTACCATAAATCGTGCCTTGTTGGAACCAGCCCACAGGTACTCATCTTACGACCGCAATTGAGCCCAACATTTACGTTGCTAAGGGAGACATTTGTTAAGTGAGCTTTGCCCCATTTTTACGACCTTCCTTGCCGTGAACCACTGCAGTTGTAAAGTTAGTAACACGGTTGTTAAGCGAATCTGGCTTCGCCATTGATTTTGATTGCCAGCTTGCAAAAGAGGATCATACGGCTCCAGGACATTCTGACTGTCATAAATATGAGTCAGTTGCCAAGTTTCCGAATTTTGATTGTGTGGCCCTGGGGATGCTGCAATGGTCATAAGTGTGAAAAACAATCCTAGGTTACTTTTTTCAATGCCGTTGTTAACTTTGGACGGTCACTAAGTGAACTGGTTGTAAATCAAGGATTACCTGCACTCTGCTGGGTTCAATAAGCCATGATCAGGTAAACAATGACTGGGTAATGCCCAAACTCAATTTCCCTCTCCATGGTTGAACTCCAGCAATGGGTGCAGGCCAGGGGTGGGTTCCTGCCAGTTCTAATCTCTTCTATAGAAGAGGTTGCACAAATCTACCATGCCATTTAGAACCAGTTCCAGCTCGCTCCCTCCACCCATCCGCACCACGCTTGCCCCGCCCGCTGCTCAATGATTGGCTGGCTCACCAATTGCTCCACCCGCCTCAAACAGTCCTATCTAAACCTTAAAGTCTTAAAGCTGTCAAGTTTGAACACCCCTGGGGTTTTCTTTTTCTAAAGGGTTAGGGGTGCAAGGGTCTTGTAACCTGATAGCCTTAAGACTTGCGTGC